CGCACAACAGCTTCTGAGTCCTTACAATTTGTACACAAGCTTCATGCAGAAAAATGCCTGCTGCTGCTCAGACCCAGCTTGTAGCACCCTGCAAAGTTCCAGCCCAGGGTCCCCACCACCCTGTGCCAGACATCCCTGGCAGTGAAAGCTCTCTGTAATTTATTAGACACATTTGCCATCTTATTGACTCAAGCCCACCTGCAACAATTCAAACAGCCAGTAAAGGAGAAGGAACACCAGCGCAGCAGTGAAAACTTGTAGCAAGAGCTCAATGAACCTTAAGCACACCATCCCATGGTCCCCAGCCCTGCACTCATCCAGCTGCAGCCAGGCCTGCTGCAAGGGGATTGGGACAGTATCCCTTGCTTCTGCCAGTTACTGTACCTGGTTACAGCAGCCCAAGACTTAAAGCAGAGTGACATTTCCATTAATCCTTTTATCCCTGGGTCCTACGTGCAGCAGCTGTAGAAAATGTCAGGCCTTCAGCAAGCCGAGCTGCCTGGGAAGCAGTGGCTGCAGAGCACCCAAGGAGCGACCTCGATGCACTTGCACAGTGCCATGACCACAGAGGGGACCCCGGGTGGCACCAGGTGCCTGCCAGGTTGTGCAAAGCCTCAGGAGCCACTGCATTCCCCCCATCAGGGCAAGAGCACCGCAGGAACAGAAGCCCAGCTGTGAGGGACCAGCAGCACCATGGCCTGAGAGCCTCTGGGGAGCAGGATGGAGCCACCATCCCTGCAAGCACCAGGTCTCCATCCCTGGATGCCCGGCATCTGCCATGGGGGACATCCACCTTGTAAACCTCCAGACTGCTGGGTCCTAGGAACAGCCTCAAAACCCGTCGGCCAACACTAACCAAGTAATACACTTACTTGCCTCGAGCTTCGAAAGGCAAGGAAAGAAAGATGTTAAGAACATGATCAATCTTCCGTGGCCCAAGCAGTAAACAAACACATATTTCATCACCACATACCAACCTTAACTCTTGACACAAGATGGATGTCGTTTTTTTCCATCTCAAAAGTAATCTCAAAAGACAAAAACAAACACTTTTGGAAAAAGCAGTAACAATCACATATGTACACATTAATGACATATTCAGCCTCAAAATGGGTGGAGCCTACATGGCCTTCTAAACTCCTACAACATCCAAACTAATTTCATCAAGAATCAAAAGTTATGTCTTATCTGCTAGATACATAAACAGCAACTGCACAATTGACAAACAACAACCCCCCCAAAAAAATCATATGGGAGAGGTATTCAGAGAGAATGCTTCCCATCAAAAAACAACTACAGAAAACACAAAACAAACACTAAAAATCAAAATAACAAAGTGCAGAAACCAGGAAAATCCCAGTGGTCAGCATTAAGAAGGGTTTATTATGACAAAATATACACTTATTTAAACTCAAAAAGGCTCTGTACTTGTTCACAACTCCCTTAACTATTCTTGCCCTTTGGTACTGCAGATCTCCTATTTAGCAAGTACTTTACCGTCACTTAGCAACTGTAATGGTTTTCCAAAAAGGCAGCTTTTGGGGTTTTTCAGTTCACATAATCTCCGAGCAGACATCAAAAGACAAATCTATCCTGCTCTGCAGGTCGCATCTATCTCCACCAGGAACATGCCCATATCGATGGCCGCATGCATCCGCAGACTCTAACGGATGTGTGCTACTGCCGTTTTTCATGGAAGAAGCCACTAGCATTGGTTTCCAAAAAGCAGGGGTACACACACTCTCCATCCAGCCCATCAGTTCATGCCCAAGACCAGTGGGCTTTCACCAACCCCTTTTCACCTTTTATATCTATACCGGAGCTGATAGGGGTTTGATCTCGGACACAGTCACTTTGACAAGATATTTCAAGCCTACAGAGCGACTTGCACACTGGCCTGAAATACAGGCTTTCCTTTATTGCCTTGGGAGAAGTAAATACACATCCAGGAAAGAAATCAGTGCCCTTGACCTCAAGGATGCAGGAATTCCCCAGGGCACTGTACCCACCGGCTAATGATGCCCCAGCAGCTGGACATCCACGCAATGTCCTGTGATAACAAGACTCCAGCCAGTCCAGCACAAAAACGTCCCTACCCCCAGCCCACTGCAGACGCCAGTTTAAGAAGTCAGTAATTAGGAGCAGAGCTGGCAGCTCCACGCCCCAGGATTTGTACCGGAAAAGTGCCCTTTGGTTAAAAGGTAAGTAGTGAGGCAGGCACCAGCTGTGTGCTGGGGTGTGCAGCCATCCCCCGAACTCTGCAGAAAGGGAAATGTGTACCAGCCACCACAAGGCTGCTAAGGAAGCAAGCACTCAGAGCACTGATCAAAGCCAGACTACTTATTAGACACCAAAACCAGTCAGCATCCCAGCAGGAGCCCACCCAGTCCTGTGTCGGAGCCCACTGCACTTCCCTGTGCCTTCGCTTTTCCTTCTCCCCACCTTTACACCTCTCCCTCCCTTTTACTGTCAGCATCCCCCTTCCCTCCCACTGCTCTCCGCAAGAGGCACTTTGGGCATCTGCTCTGGGGATCACCTTTCCGCAGGGAGCAGAGGGAAAAGGGGGCAGGAGCCGCCAGCACTCACATGTAGCGCAGGTGAGGGTTCTTGGCGAAGGCGCGTGGCTGGATGTTTCGTAGTCCTGAGTTCCTGATTGTCCTGCAAAGAGATGCAGAATGGTAGCAGTGGAGTCAAGGGTGACCACTGCTCTAACACCCCACGGTCAGCACCCGAGGTGCACTGGGAATCCTGGGGTGCCACCCCAGGAGGCACTTCTGTCCCCAGACAGCCTTTATGAGTTACAAGCAAAGAGAAGAAGCTTCATCTGATATGGTGACAGCACAGGCTCAGCGCAGAGCGGCTGCTGGGTGTGACTCTCCCCCCACATCCACCAAGGCTTGCTTGAGTGGCACAAAACATCTCCTGCTCATCTCCCTCCATCTTCATGAGCAGCACTGCCTGCTCCCACAGCAAACTTAACTCCCAACACCACCATCTCCCCTCCTTCAAACCCAAGACAAAACTCTTCTGACTTGCAGCCCTGATAAGGAGGGGCGAGTATTTTGTGTACAGAGTTATGGACATTGAAAGGGGAATCCTTTTGCCACCCTGTTTTGGAGAAGCTGTATTAGCACTATGACCAGGGGCATAGTTGCAGACAAAAGTATGCTCAACTCTGTTGCTGCTTTCTTAGGTGAGGTGAGAACAGCAGCCAGACTGCTTACAAGGCGTGTGTGTTAAAAGCACAGCTTGCTGAGGTTTGGTTATCGAGCCCTCAGCAATGTGCACCTCTCCTCCAACCTGCAGGCAAACTGTACCTAACGTAAATCTCCCAGTGAAACTCATTAGCAGAGTCTCCAATTAACCCTGAGCAACACTGCATCTCATGCAAGCAGCACCCAGGGTGCTCCAAGGATGGGAGGGGGAATTAAGAGATTAAGTGGTACCCTCGCTCAGCCAGGCTTCCCAAGCACCCGGCCAGTCCCTTCAACCTCACAGAACTCAGTTTCCCCTCCGTGATTCACACCGTTGACCTCTCCTGGTGCTCGGAGTGTTATGCAGGGTGATGCAACTCCCTTATCATGCAGCACCACTGTGATAGCAGCTGCACTAAATGAGGACCAAAAACCCAGCCCTGAAGGATGGGTGGAGACAGCTGGAATTTTGCATTGTGGGGCTGAAATGAATCAGACCAACGCACAAGCCCAGAACAGCAGGGGAGAAGAGAGATCAGGGCTGATGTGCACTGACAGTGCTGTCAGGAGCTAGCAATCTTCCTTCTCACAGACCCAGCAAGGACCAAAAAGCACTTCATCTCCATTTTGTGGAATCTCGTAGCAAAATACAGCAGAGCCAGTAGCTTAAACAGGCTCTGAACACCACGGCAAGGAGACTGTGGAAGCTGCAGCTCTTTACTGGAAGGAAGTGGCCGCACAGTGCTGTTCTCCTCCCCAACACGCAGGACATACTCACAGCCTCTGGAGTCCTGTGTACAGCTCCATGTCGACAGCGTTCAGCGTCTGCAAGTTCTTCCAGTTCTCTATGTGTCTGTGGAGAAGAAGGAAAGGCTCAGCTGTGGTACAACCAGGTGGTCGCTCTGCCCATGCAGGGGACAGCACACAGTGGAAGCGCATCATACCCTACCACCCAGCCCCACACTTCTTCCCACCTTCCTTCAGTCAAAACCTTCTTGCAACAGGTCTGGGGACTTGACCTGTGCTGGCTTCCATATCCACACCTGGCACGCATCACGCTGCCAAAACAAGCAGTTTCTCATGCTGCTTTTTGTTCTGTTTTCCCAGGATTTTGGGAAAGCCAGATAACATGGTTTTACCCACAGTTTTGAACATGGAACATGCAACCAAACTGTTGAACATCCTTGGCCAAGCCATTGCCCCTTCTCTGCACTTCACTGCACGCATTGATGAAACAAAGACATGATTGAGACAGCTGACGCAAAAGGAGTGAAAGAAAATAAAACCTCTCAACAAAAACTTGGGGCCTAAATGGAAAAAAAGAAAAGTCATATTTATCCAGTCTCTTACTGGGGTGGACAAACAGGGTCCTAATCTTTGCTGGCTGGAAGTGCTGCTGGCAGGAGAGCGCCAAACTTGGTTTGGAAACAGTGCCTTTATTATAAATTCCTCAGTCGCCCGGGGCGCTCTGGCAGATATGTTATATAGAACAAAACCAGAAATAGATCTGTCACAACGGGATTGTTATTCAGTAAATATTAGAGCTGGGGGAAGGTGACAGATCGACAGCCCCAGAGAACGGGGTCCCCTTTTATCAACAGCATAGAAGCGATGCTGGCAGCAGCATGGCCAGCTCGCTGTGGCCATGTGCCTCTACTACAGCTGCAACACTGCGTGGTATAGGAGTAGCTCGGTCCTCATCCCCCAGGCAGTCCTTGGCCAGTTCTCCCAGACTGAACTCAGATACCATCCCACCAGAAAGCACAACTATTTTCAAGAGGGTGTTTGCTGGGTAGCAGGTGAAGGTAGTCCTCTCTTAAAGTCAGATGAGTGGGAGAAACATCTGGCTGGTCCCCTTAGACAATATGTAAAAAGCCCATCCTTAAGGTTCACGAACACGTGCTCCCCAGCTCACATCTGCCCTGATGCAACAGTTGGCTTTGGGCTCAGCCCTGGAGAGGGGAAATGTTTCCAAGTGATGAAGGGTTGGCATGATAAGCCATCACTGAGAACCATCCCTTCTAGGCAAGAAGGTTACAGGACCCCATGTGGTGGTCCAGAGGGTAAGGAGAAGAAGGACCGTTGACCACTTCCAGAGCAGTCACAGGGGCCGTACTTTCCTCCTTCAGCACTCACTACACCATGTGCTTGCACAAGAACAGACCAATTTGCATGACAGAAGTATATGGACCTATTTGAGACTTATCCCAAATACCATCCAGATCAAGCAATAAAAATAAAAAGCCTGGACTAAACCTAAACATATTCCTCTTCTCTCACCATGCAGATCCAAGACAAGCAGAGACCCACAAGAGTCACCTCTGCTTTCCACATGTTCCATAACTGTCTGCATACCCTGAGGGGTTAGTGTAAGGACACAGCATAAGCTCCCAATTGGCTGCTGCATGACAGCGTAAGTTACAGTTCATCCTCAATGACCTGCTCATCGGCTTGGATCGCCTGTGTCCCAGACAGAATGAGAAACAGGACATTATTACAGCCATTTCGTATTCCCTGCCAACTTCTAAGGCCCCTGTGAACACCTGCAGAACAAAACACAGACTGGAAGTCATCAGTCGAGAGATCCAATAGCTCACTGAAACCCTTCCGAGACTGGGTAGGACTGCGAGTTCAGGTCCTGGGCCACAAGATTGCAGGACTGAGCAAGGCTAGAAACACAACTTGAAGACATTTTCCACCTGCAGCTCCAACAACCCAAATAACAGGGTCCTCCAGGAGAAAGAAAGAACATGGGAAGAAGCAGGAACGGGGTGGTGCGAGTTTACCACCAGCGCATGCTGTAGCTACAGCATCTGAGCAATGACCTTCGGGGAGGGATGGAGCAGCCCCAGGCCAGGAGCTATGGAGCAACCACAGCTGGGAAGGAGGCGGCGGCCAGATTTGCTCTTGTTTTATTGATTGTGTTTGCTAAAAAAAGTCAAGGTTATTTTTGACCTGACACTCAAAGCCATGTGGGCAGCATTCTAGAAGAGGCAGAAAAAGACCCGAGCTTGTTCCCAGCGATATGCAGAGGCATAACTTTCTGGTGACTCAGCACTGGAGTACCAGGGTCTTGGAGGCCCCCGTGGCAAAGCCCTCCCCAGAAGTGACATTACACTAGACTGTAAATATAACTCCACAACCTGTGTTCCAGCTTCTCAAACAAAGCCCATGAGCTTTCTGAGCCAGATACGCTTTGGTATATTATTTAACATAGACACACAACACCCATAGAGTGAGAGACAAGAGAAGCAACAGTGGAAATAAATAAATACACACACACTTACATACAGGATAATCCCTCAACCCAGCAGCTGCTTCATGTAGAGTATAATACAGGGAAATAGCGTCATTTTGAATTAGGTGCACAGGTCAGCAAAGGACTCCGAGTCCTTTAAACTACACAGACACTTCCCTTCTCAGGGACGTCCAAAAATGGCTCTTCCCTTTTTTCCTCTGATTTTTCAATTTAGCAGGAGTTGCACCCTTGCTCCTAGAAGTGGCAAATCAGTCTTGGTTCACAGGCACAGCGAAGATACACCAGAAAAAACATTTTCTTTAGTTCCCTGTTGTTTTGCAATGAGTAGTGTAACTTTGTGCTGGCTGGGTTCGCCTGAACCCACTTTAAAAACAAAACAGAAATGCATCTTATTCTGAAAGCTCAAGGAGTCAAGCTGTGATTGCAAAATTGGCAGTAGTTCCACAGGAAAGCAAACCAATCAAGCAAAGAAACTCCACCCCTAAAACAGAAGTTCCTCTTCATGTGCTTCAGCATCTCAACTAGTTCCCCCTCTTTTCCTTCCAGGGTTTTGCTTGCCCTAGAAATCTTATATACTCCCAATTGCTGCCAAAGACTGAGACCTTCCCTTCTCCCCTGCCTCGGTTCACTAACCTGACAGGAACACTGGTGCTGGGTTCATGCCAAATACAGATGTGACAGCTCCCAGCCCTGCCCTGGTCTCGGCAATCAAGCTTTGAGATATGAATTACAGTCAGCAGGTTACTCACTCCTCCCTGTAAACATCTCTAAGCATATATTCCCGTGGCATTCCTCAGTTAACACTTAGGTGAGCTGCTCTTCTGCAAGATGCTATAGCTTCAAGACCAATACCATACTTCACAAATCCTGAAGTGCTCACCATATACACATCCATCCAGACCCATTTCCAACTTCTAATCGAGACCATATGAGATGCATTGCTAACACAGATGAGAGTGCTTACTTTTTGGTGGGGGGAATAGAGGGAGCATGGCGGGGAACGGCGAGAAGGAGGTGTTTCTTTAAATACTCGCCTCTTTCTTATACTTCTTATCTGTTTGGAGGGTCCTGGTGCTCCAGGTCTTGCACTACAGAGTTGCCTTCACACCATCCCTTTTACAGACCAATCAAAGCCCACCTTAGGAGCAGCTAGGGCTTTGCCCTCCCGACTCATACTGAAACACTGCACCAGAACTCCCCTGCTCTTCTCATTTCTTACCCACAAGAATTTTACATTCATTTTCTCTTGTGTCAAAACTGTCTTTGCTTAAGCAGCTCTTTTCGTTTCCCAGCATTTTCTCCTCCTTCCTTTACAAGCAAGAGCCAGACCCACCCACCTATCATTTATAAGTTACACGAGGCCAGCTCTTCTAAGGCAGCGCGTCTGTACCAAGCAGTGAAGTGCAAGGCAAATTGTCTCAAGTGCCTTGAAGAGATACTAACTCAAGTCCCAGAAGTGAAGCGGATATATTGCTCAGGCAGAGTCCTGGTGGAGAGGTTATTTTGCTTCTGGTTTCAGACCCAACATAACTGACGCTGACGCTTGGTGACCTATGCAAGAAGGACCACTGTGATAGATACTGTAACAGAAAATGGATCTCCATTTTCTTCATCAGACTATTTAATTCCCTTTTTCTTAAAAAAGAGTGACCAAAAACACAGAGCAGTCTCCAGGAGGTTTCACTTCTATAACAGCACAAGTAACACCCCAGTTATACTGGAAAGACCCTGAGATCACACTGAGCTTTCTCACAGCCCCATCAGCCTGGACACTTGTTTTCAGCACGTAATTCAGCACTGCACCAAGTACTTCTATCCACCAGGTCATTTCCAACTGATATGATTTCCTAGCTTGCAGCAAAAGCCCCGTTACACCCACTTTTGCATTCATCCCACTTTGCATTACAGACTTTTTCTTGATTTTACTACTGCAGCTCTTCCCCTTGGCCATCCTCACCCCACCTTGTGTTCCCACAGCCCAGCACTGTGCCAGCAGCAAAGCCCAAGAGCGTGTTCCTGCCTTTTTTGCCAGTGTCCTCAACAAAAGCAGAGTCAACAACATCACCTCCAAGGAACCTCAGCAGTCATCTCCTCTTTCAACACCTCCCACCACCACTTCTCTCTTATCCAGCTCTTCACCTACAATAGCTGGGCTATACTATGTCTTCTCCAGAAAAACAAACCACTTATGATGTAATGCAGCACCATATTAACCTCTCACCATGAAGTAATCATTTTGCTGAGGCAATCAGTTACCTTTCCAAAGGAGGATATGAGGTTAGCCTGACAAAAGTTATATTTAGGAGGCCAGCCCTGGGCCATATCTCAGCCTCCATGTACAGCCATGCCTTTACAACTTGGTAAACACCTTGCAGACCACTAAAGTCAGACCAATGGTCAATCCACAAGTGGCATCCTGTGTCCCAGTTAACAGTAAACTCGTGAAGTGCAAAGCCCTGTTTGCCAGCTTCACGGCTCTTGGACATGATGTCTTACTCCCAGACTCCAGGGCACTGTGTGAAGCCAGTAAGAAGGCAGCTGTCTCTGCCCCTGCATCACACAGAGAGAGATCAGCAATCTTATTGACTGTATGG